TGAAGTTGAGCTCGCCGAGTGTCCCGCGTAGAGTCGCCCAGTAAGCAGCCCCTGGATTCTGTCGCAGAGACGCCTTCAGAGACAGTCCACACATCCTGCATGTTAAATGCGGTGACTCTTTGGCACTCACTGTTTTAATTTTTCCTAGCTAAGGGCTGCTAAACGTTAGTGTTAATGTATTTAAAGTTGATGCTTTTCAGGGCTTAAAATGATGTGCGAATAGGCCCTTACCATTCTGTGATGGGTGTATGGTTTTTAATGTATATAAAGGTCTTTTAAAACATGAAAGTAGGCTCTTTCGTTGAAAATTCAAAAACCTAATTAAACACATTGACAAGAGAAAGCGCCTCTGTCCGCAGATCTTCCACACTGCTGATGTTTCCTAGTGTGCTGACTCTCACGAAAGAATCTGTCTCTTCTGGAAGCTGGCGCACACTCACTTCCTGCCCTTCTTTCCCCCGCGCTCCAGATCGGGAGTTGTAGCAGCCAGATGGGGCAGATTGCCATCATCTCCTTTCAAAATTCCAACCCCAAAGTCATCGAGTGCTTCAACGTGGAGTCACGCATCCTGTGCATGGTGTACGTTCCCGTCCAGGAGCCGCACCGAGAGCCCAGTGTGGCCTCGGACGCCGCGCCCACCGCCACCCGCGCTTCTGACGTGCCCACCATCTGCCTGGGCACGGAGGAGGGAAGGTAGCAGCACCTCGTTCCACAGACACCCCGGAGCCACCAGGACGGGACGTTGCCGCCAAGCTGGGCACCCTGGGCGGGGGAATTCCAGACGTAAGGGAAACTGGGGGCCGCCGCAGGCCAGAGTCCGGGAGTCCGGCTTACGAGCGTTGTCCAGAAAACTCCTAAAACGAATTGGGAGTTTTTAGGGGGAATGTTTTTGCCCCTGCAATGATGTGCTTTTAAATGACTCATTTTATTCGTGCTTCTCAAAAGTGTCTCTCGCCTCACATTTGGAGTAAGACCCCGCCGAGCATTGTGATGACGATGTTGAGCATGGACTCATTGGAAGCGCGGTTAAAATGATTTTCCTGATACAAAGTTCCAGTGTATAAAGTAGAAATTGAAAATAAAGTTGTGTTACAGTGAAAGACATTACTGTCATCTCCCCTCAGTCCTCCCCCTCAAGTCAGACACTCCTTGCCATTTTCCGAAGCAGTTCTGGAACTCCCCGTCCATGTGTGTTTTCAGGGCTGCTTGATGTACTGAATCGGTTCAGGCCCTCGAGGCGGCCCCACCATCGCTAAGGACACTCGGGAGAGAGGACTCGAGCTGTTTCAGGAAGCAGTGAGAGTGAAGGGGGAGGTGTGGGCGGGGAGAGGGGACGTGGGGGAGTTAATGGAGATGCGTCTTTTAAATTTAAAACCAAGCATTCACTGTAGGTTTTGATCACACTGTGTATACAGGAAGAACTAATTTTTTTATTTAATAACCCAGAATTTCTATTTAAAATTCAGGAAAAAACCAGGGCAGCTGTCCATAGCAGAAGGTGGCCAGTGTGTCTGAGTGGGAGGGGCGGGACAGAGGGGCGAGAGCGGCGTGGACCTCGTTGCCCGGGAGCGGGCTCACGCTTGACCTGCACCTTTCCCTCCACAGCATTTCCATCTATAAAAGCAGCCAAGGCTCCAAGAAGGCGAGGCTGCAGCACTTCTTCACCCCCGAGAAGGCCACTGTCATGAGCCTCGCCTGCTCACCGCGCGGCCTGTACGCTGGCCTGGTCAATGGCGCCGTGGCCAGTTACACCAAGGCCACAGGTAACTCGCTGGCCCCGCTGGTGTACTGCCGCCCGGGCCCCCGCTCGCTTTCCCCTTCCCGGGAGGCCTGGCTGACTGCCCACCTTGCCCCTCTGACCTCTCCTGAGGACCTGAGGACCCGAGGAATCTCAGTGGTGCCTCCCAAGCAGCTGCCTGGCTTCCTCCTGCCTCCTCACCGCGCCGCCTTCCCGACTCCCTGCGGCAGTCCCCCGACTTGCCCACCAGCACGTCCTTGCGGGCACCCTCAGACGTGTCCAGACTCCCCAGTGTCCCCACCCTGCCTAAGCCGCCCGCCCCTGCCTGGCCCCTCACGGCCTCCACGGCCTCCTTGCACTCCTGCCTGTTCTTCTCCGAGCTCTAACACTGGCTGTGGCACCTTTACCCTCTGCTTAGAATTGTCCAGGGAGATCCCATGTGCGTTGTAAAAACTGGCCCTGAGCCCCGAGCCACCCTCCTTGGGACCTGCACTGGCTCCTGGTGAGCCTGCCTGGGGGCCCACCCTTGTCCTTGATCTTTGGCACCCCCTCCCCAGAGGGCACCCTGCTCTCGCTCCACAGCAGTGGCCTGGTGGGCGCTTCCCTTCCTCCTCCTCTGGGCCCGTGGGTGCCCACTCGCTTGGCTTCCTCCCTGCTGCTCACGACGCTGGCTTTGCTCTCAGCAGCGGGGACCTGTGTCTCTGGCGCTGGCCCCCTCCAGCCCTGTATCTGCACAGATCTTCGTCCTGCCAGTCTTCTTCGTGACCACCCATGCATGTCCCTGAGCCACTGTTCCGTGTCACGGCCACAGGATGCTGTCCTTCCTTCAGTCCCAGTACCTTAAATCAGCCTTTCACAGCCCGGGGCTCATTGTCTGGGGCTGAAATTTCAGCAGTTTCCTGGCTGGCTTCCTATGTTTCTTTCAGTCCGGGATTTTTTGTCACCCAGAGAGGAAAAAAAGTCCCATTTCAAGTTTTGTAAGGAAGATGTCAAATTTATCCTGAGGATAAAGGACACAGATGTGGAGGACCAGAGGCCCCAGCCTGGCTAGCTGCATGCAGCCCTGAGGTTTGGGGTCTCCCTGCACAGGCGGGGTGGCCACGCTCCTGCCCAACTTGGCTGTGACCACGAGGCCGTGGGCCGAGCTGGCGGGCCGCTGCTCTGAGGTCCTTGAAGCTGCTGTGCAGTTTTCTTGTTCCTTCCGCCTTTGTTGAGCTTGGCGAGCAGTTTCCTCCTGTGCTCTGGGAATGTTAATGACTGGGAAGTTTTATCTGGGTCTTGGAGCTGATTTTGGTTATGGACGTCTGCTTCCTCCATCGCTGGGTTTGAGCGTTCGCGTTCTTGTGCAGTTTTGCAGGTTAGATGAGTGCCACCCCTCTCAGGCAGGACACAGTCACGGTAGACAGAAGTCTCTCCAAGTACCTGGCAGGCGCTTGGTACCCTGCCCGCGTGCCGTCACAGCGTTCCCTTCTTCTCCCCTCCCTCCCTCCTTCCCTCCGCCCCCTCCCTCCCTGCGTGCCTTCCTTCCTTCTTAAAGCTTCTTAGAGGAATGTAAATGTGCAGGGATTTTCATTTGATCTGGATTGTGATTCCTATTATTTTATGCTCCCACTTACACTTTTCTTTCTTGGGTTTTTCGTGATCTTTACCCACTGGTTTTACTTGGTTCCTTGTGAGTCCCCTCAGCGGCCAGTACAGTGCTACGCAAGGGACCCAGCCTGCTATGTCCTCTCAGGCTGTGGGATTGGCCGGATATGCCCTAAACCTGGCTTCTGGAGGCCTCTGCCTTCCTGGAGCAGGCAGGCAGCTGGTTCTGGGCCCCACTGCTGCTGGGGACCTGGAAATATGGAGTTGGGTAGGAAATACCCAGATTGTCAAGCCTTGGCTGGAAATGTCATCAGCTTCCCAGCCACTGTGGAGGCGGAGGCAAAAAGATTGCAAGTTTGAGCCCAGCCTGGGCAACTTAGTGAGATCCTGTCTCAAAAAATAGGAAGGGCTGAGGTAGCTCAGTGGTAGAGTGTCACTTGGTTTAATCCCTAACTCTACCAAAAAAAAAAAAAGAAAAAGGCGAAATTCATCGTCTTGTACTTGGAGTCCGGCTGCAGTGCTGTGGCCAGGCTGAGCTCCCTCCCCTGGGCACAACCCCAGGCAGAAGTCACCCCAGAGGCCACCTCGTTGGCCCAGATTCACATGTGCACAGGGCCTGAGGTTGCGCGTCACCCACCCAGGGAACGGGCATACAGATCTGTGGAGAGAACATTTGAGGTGCTCAGAAAATAGAACTCAGTTGTTTGAAATTGATCCTCGGCCAAAGCTTAGTGTCTGAAGGGGTACCAGTCCATGGTGGAGGAAGACAGGAAGAACAAGAGGCGGGAGAGAGGAAGAAGGAGAGAGAGAGACAGAGAAAGAGAGAGAGGCAGAGACAGAGAGAGACAGAGGGAGACAGAAGCTTCTTTCTGTCCCTTACATTGTATCCAGTCTACCAGCATTAGGGCGGTGCCAACCCAGTCAGTGGACTGATGCAGCGGTCACCCACCCGTAATCCCAGCACTGCACTACAATCAGTCACACACTCTAGGGTCAGCCCCCTCTGCAAAAAGCCCTGAAAAACCCCATCTGAAACTTCATGAGGCGTTGGGGAAATATCCAGACACAGACCATAACATTCCGCCCCTGGCACCACAAAGACTCATGCAGTTCCTTTATGCAAAAGGCATTTAGTCCATCCCCAAGAGTTGCGAAAGTCCTAGCAGTTTCAGTGTTGCTCAGAAGTCCAAGTCCCGTCTTTTCTGAGATATAAGGCAAACTCGGAACGGCTAACACCTGTGCAAATGAAAGTTCCAACACTTCCAGCATTCATTGGCACAGGTGGACGTTTCCACAGGGGCTGCGGATTTAGCTCAGCGGCACAGCGCCTTCCTGGCAGGCATGAGGTCATGAGTTCGATTTCTGGTACCGGAAAAAAAAAAAAAAACGGTACATACAGGGGGATACAAAGGAGAGGGACCAAAGGAAGTCCAAACTCCATCAGGGAGGTGATGTGTCCTGGCTGTCACTGTCAGTGTTGTTACCACACAAGGCCGCCTCACTGAGATGGCTTTAATTCTGAGCACTCCGGCACACCCAGAAACCAGTGCTGGCGTCAAAATTGTGCTCTGCATTTTGTTATTTAAAGTGATCTTTGGTCCTGTAAATAAATGTTTTTTGCTTTTGTTTCAGATGGATCGTGGAACGCAGAACCTCAGAAAGTCATCAAATTAGGTGTCCTTCCGGTTAGGAGCCTGCTGGCGATGGAGGACACTTTGTGGGCAGCGTCTGGAGGCCAGGTGTTCATCATCAGCGCCGAGACACACACGATCGAGGTGAGTTGTGGAGGCTCCGCGTGGGAAGGCGCTCTGGAAGCTGCCCCAGTACCATGCTGTGCGGAGTCCAGCTCAGCCTCCAACTCGTGGGGATCCTGGCGGCCACTCTCCTGGGCCCTGTGCTGAAGGAACCCTCCTAGATTGTGCCCGGAAGGCAGACTGCCTGGGAGACTCGGCTAACCCTTTTCTAACCACTTACCCATGGGTGCAGTTGCTCACCGTTCACCCCATACGGAAGGGATGCATTGCTTTTAAAATGTGCTCGGGGTGCAGACTCCTCAGGGACACAGAGAGCGTTAGCCTTCGTGGCAGGGCCGCCTGGCATCAGCAGGGCTGGTGGTCAGGACAGCGCCAGCTGCTGCTGGGAAAGCTGGCATGCCTCCCCTGTGGGCACCTCAGCTGGACGGGAACGTGAGCACGAGCAAGGCCCAGAGCCTCAGGCGCTCGGAACTGTGAGATGCTACTGCCACTCGGCGTGCGAAAGCCGCTCTCGGGTGCCAGACGCCCCGGAGCTGCCATGACAGAAAAAGAAAGTGTACATGGGTGTCTAATATTGTATGTGCATCAAAATATTTATGAACTTGGGAAATATTTCTTACCTTATGAGCAAGAGTTAATATTCTTAATATATGAAGAACTCTGCTAAGCTTTAAGAAGGCAGCTGACCTAATAGAAAATATTAAAAGGGCCTGGAAGTGCAGGTCCTGGTGTGTGAGGGAGGACACACAGCAATGTATGGACATGCACAGAGCCTTGGCCTCACTGATACTAAAAGGAGGTGCTATTAACAAACTCAGTGTTTACAGAAGCTTCGAGCCCACAGCACGCTGAGCGGAAGTCACTGAGATGCGCACAGCCACCGCACTGCCTGGCACCCACGGTGGTGCGCTTGCTCCCATCCACAGGCCTGCAGGCCACGTCACCACACCCCCTGGGCTCCGCTCATGGCGTTGCACTCTGGCTTTGCACACGTGTGTGAGGCCCCATCCACACTGTACTCTCACACAGCAGTGTGCTGCAGTTCCTACCCACACAGCCATGCTGCCTGCTGCAGCGGCCACTGATCCCAGAGACCCAGCAGCACCACCACCACCACCACCTGCCCGTTGGCAGACCACGCAGTTGGCACTGTCCTGCCGGCAGGTGGGGGCAGAGCCCTGCAGGAGGGGTCCTCAGCTGCCGTCTTTGGAGGACAGTCACAGTCCTGTGCCGATTATTATCCAGGACGCTGCTGACGTTTCCTGGCGATCCATCCAGATGAGCCAGCACAAGCACAGCGGTGTTTGCGGCAGTGTCTCTGGGTGTCCAGACATCAGGAACTGACCTGAGGGGGCGTGGGTGGGAACTGTTCTCAGAGCCGTGCTAAGCAGCAGAGGAGGAGCAGGTGTGGACATGCAGCTGCCAGGCAGTCCTGGTGCCCAGCACAACACCTTGTCGGCACCTCGCGCACTGACGGGTGGGGTCGTGTGTCCGGGGGGTGTTAGGGTGTGCACCCGCAGCTGTAAGATGAGTGGCTGCACTTCGTGTAGCTCTCTTATTCTCTGCCACATGTTGCAGCTGTGCTACTGTAAAGATCACAGGGACCAGTTACCCCGTCTGCCTTGTCACCTGCTGCCCACCCCAGTAGCCTGGGGTTCAGTGGTGTTTTATTCTGCCATCAAAATGAATCTCTGATGCTTGGAAGTCCTTTAACTCTCGCACAAAAGGCAGTAGGAAGAGAAGTGCATTCCTTGGGGTTTCCTCTCTCTGAAGAGTGTTGAATGGCTGTGTAAGTCTGCAGGGAAAACAGCAAAAGCAGCAAGACGAAAAGGGAGGAGCAGCAGAGGCAAGCAGCCTCTTTCCCTCCTTTACACTGTATGCAAACTGCCCGCCCCAGGGCAGGTGTAGCGCTCACATCCATAATTCCAACACTGGACCATGAATCAATAACTAAAAGCCTGACCCATGACTGCATGTGGCTTTGGGGGGACACCCAGACACAAACCATAACATTCCGCCCCTGGCCCCCCAAAGACTCATGCACATCCCTTTGTACAAACAGTATTTAGTCCGTCTGCAAGAGTTACCAAAGTCCTAACAGTTTCGGCATTGCTGAAGAGTCAAGTCCCAAGTCTCCTTTAAGATGTAAGACAAATTCTTAGCTGTGAGCCCCTGAGCAAATGAAACCAAAGTTAAACACTTCCAATGTTCAGTGGCACAAGACAAACATTACCATTCCAAAAGGTACAGGGATACCTTTTGGAAGGTATATAAAGCATTGGTATATAAAGTAAGGGACCAGGAGGAGGATATAAAGGAGGATATAAACCATTGGGACCAAAGCAAGGCCA